TTTAAAGAAATAACAATTTGCAAAATTTAATTTTTTTTTTAAATGACGTCAGCGAAATATTATTATTAAAAAAATTGTATAATAATAATAATAAGAGTCTATAAGGATGTGAGTAAGTATTAAAAAGGTTCAAAATATTTTTTTTTTGTACAAAAACAAAATTTCAAGTAAACAACAACAACAACAACCCTTCGAACACAATAAAAATTTATTAAAATTTCGGAAAAATTTTTTATAATAATAATAATAATAATAGCAGGAGAAAAACTAACAAAAAAAAAATTATTTATTCGAATTTAAAAACATATTATATTAAAAATTATTATTATTATTATTATAAGACAAACGTTGCAGCTGCAAAAAAAAAAAAAATTATACTTTGGTAAATGAATAATTTTTTTTATTTAAGTTGAATTGAATTTATATAAATGAATATAGTAAAATAGGCACGCGAGTGATCAGCTGTCTAGGGGTATGGTATGAGGCAGGGTGTTGTATCCCTAAATATCCCTATGGATGCTGTTGTTGTTGTTGTTATTGCTCTTAAATTTTGATTTTTTCGACCCACATTTAACTTTTACACACATCTATCACGTCACATTTTTATATGTTTAACTTATGTTATAAATATATTTAAGGGATCGAATTAATAAGTAAACATAAATTAAAAAAAAAAAAAACGCGTCACAAGTAAATAAATTTTGGCGCACAAAATTTAATATTTATGCAGATAATGTTTTCCATGTAAAAAAAAAAAATTTTTTATAAACAATATGGGGGGTGACATTTTTTTCTTCCTTCGGGACACAATTTTTTATTAAAAACCTAAAAAAAAAAAAAATTTAATACGTTAAAAAAGGATTTAATATTCAATGACATGAATTCTTATTATTATTATTATTTTCACTCTTAAATTATTATTATTATTATTATTATTATTATAGTTTTTCACAAGATTAAACGAATATAAAAAAAAAAAATATAAACAAAATAATAGAGAAAATAAATAAATTTCATTGAAAAAAAAATTTGTTTTTTTTTTTATTGTTCATTGAATAAGATGTTTAGGGTAGTAAAAATGACGTCATAAGATGTTTTTACAAATAAAAAGAAAAAGGGAAGGTGTGTGTTTGTGTGTAAAGGTGCATAAGATAATGACGTATGACGTCTTAAGTTAAAATCACGATGACGTAAATAAAAATATGCACTTTGAGTTGGTTCACCTGCATCGCGACCATTAAAAGAAGAGGGATGGATAAGAATAATAATAATAATAATAATAAAAGAAATTTTTGTGTGACGGAAGAGAGGATGTTTTTTTTTTCTTTTTCTTCCTCGGGTTTGATTCTTGCAAGTGATTTTCTTTTGTTAAAATTTCCACTTCCTTCCTTCCTTTCGGTCATAGAATAGGAAGATTTAAAAATATTGAATCCGGTTTTTCCTTATAAAAAAGTAAACGGAGGTTTTCCACTAATAAAATTATATACGAATAAAAGAAATTTTTTTTTCCAGCATCTCCCTCCCCCTACTCCCTCCACCCTTCCCCCAAATGACCGAAAGGGAAAACGTTGTGATTTTTATCAGGGGGGTGAGGGGTTTTTTTGATCAAACATCTGCTCGAACAATTTCGTCTTACTAAAACAAAACATTCATATCGTCCAAATACATTATATAATAAATAATAATAAAATTATTGATCTTGGATTGATTGATTATTATTATTATTATTATTATTATTATTATTATTATTATTATTATTAATATAAGAAAAGAGTTAGTCGGTGGTCGGGCGTGAAAATAAAAAGATTAATTAACGAGGGTTGTAAATTATTTATAATACTAATTGATCACCTGAAAGGAAATGATATAACATTCACGACGTCTGTTTTATAAATTATCAGTATTATTATTATTATATTTATAGGGATGAATTTTCCACAGTTGATTCGTCATGCGTGACCGAACACTTAAATTTTTAAAGGGAAGTTTTGTTTTTTTTTTTTTTTTTTTTTTTTTTGTAAAAACAGCTGCCGGACCATATTCCATATTTAAAAAAAAAATCCGTTTATTAATAATAATAATGATAATGATGATAATAATGATGTGTGTATGTAATAATATTCGTGCACGAAAATTATTGATTATTTATTATAAAACTGTTATGGTCAAAACAGGAAATGTATTTTTTTTTTTCGTTCGGAAAATTTTCATTCCTTTGATTAATGTGTAATTTTATTACTCTCTCTTTCTCTTCCTCTCTCTCTCTCTCTCTCTCTCTCTCTCTCTCTCTCTCATTAAAACCATCCGTTACGTACATCCGTATCCGTAATTATTTTTAATGACAGGATGATATCAAAACAGGACAAATGCGTGTGTAAATTTTTTAAAATAATAATAATAATAATTTTTTGAACACACACATATTTTTGATTTATTATAAGGCCGTTATCTGAAAAAAAATAAAAGTGTCAAAGTAAAAGGGAGAAAAAAGAAAATAATAATAATAATAATAATAATATAAAGAGTTTTCCAACGAGTTTTTCTTCGTAATCTCAATACAATATTATTTTGTTGTAAGTAACATCAAAAGGATTCCGAACATGATGAGTAAATCGTTATTGATTTTTTGATAGGATTTTAAAAGATTTTTTTTTTTTTTCCCGATAAGAGAATATTATTATTATTATTATTATTATTATTATTATTATTATTATTATTATTATTATTATTCTATTATAATTGTAGTCGAAGCTTTCAATATATATATACTATTAAATATTTTTGGTAATCGGATTATATGGTTCACACAATATTTTTTTTTTTTTGTAAATATATATAATAATAATAATAATAATAATAATAGACAGTGATTCATGCGAATCAATTATCACACCACAAAAATATAATGATAATAATAATAATAATAATAACACAAGACTCATAACTATGAGAAGGTAATTCTCAAAGTCCGTCAAGATGATATGAGGCGAATTTGTCAATCGCAGTCGGAAACAATCGAAAACTTCATTTCCGGTTGTTCGATATTGGCAAAACATGAATATTTAGAGATTCAAATCCACACTAACAGAACTGTGCCAGCCAACAAACCGGATATCATCCCGAGACGTAATGCGGAAAAAAACACCAGACAGCCAAAGAAGCAGACAAAAGGGTGAAGGAAGGAGGATGTGGGGGGAAGTACGGTCATTGTGGGAGCACTGGGAGCCATGCCACCACATTCAATGAAAGGAAATTTAAAGAAGATTTTGAAGAACCTAAAAGAAGAAACCATCCAGGAAATTGCACTATGTGGGACGATGTGATCGTCTGTATAATCTCAATTTTTTCCAGTAAGAAAAAATGATGATAATAATAATAATTTTCGAGATTGAAATATAATGTTTACAATGGTAATTAAAGAAAAAAAAAATTGTAATTGATTAGAATATGGAAAGTTGAATGAATTTAAAAAAAAAAGTAATTTGGCAAAACAATAATGGCTGGTTAAAATAGCGATGGGAGAAATAGGTATGTGGAAATTTCCACGTGAGGTTATTCCCAAGATGAATAAAATCCATGAAAATGCGGGTTTTCTTTTTCGATAAGAATTCAATGGCACTTGACGAAACCTTTATTCAAGGTCAAGGTGGTGGTGCAGCACCATCAGGACCCATGCGGGTCGGTCACATTATCATAATACAAAAATTATAATGCGGAAATATTTTTTTTTTTTTTTACGAGATGTTTTCAAGTGTCTACGGGGGGGTAGGGAGGGAGGGTAAATTTTTATGCGTACGGGTATAAACGTTAAATTTATCATTAAAAAAATATTCAAATAATAATAATAATAATAATTGGGGAAAAAAAATTAGCAGTGAGACTGACTGACTGATTCATGTTGAGTCAATCTTTTAATGAAAACAATCATTCTAAAGTTCAAATATAATTTTATTATTATTATTATTATTCATTTAAATTATTAAACAAAACAAAATTGTTTAAAAACGGTTTCAAATGTGTAAATAAAAATAAATAAATTATTTATAAAACATTATTATTATTACTAAGTGATGTGATATTTGTATGACGTATTACCAAATTGTAAATTTTTCTATTAAATAATTTTCTTAGTCACTTGAAAATTTATTAAATAATAATAATAATAATAATAATACTTATTACGATTTTAAAAAAAAAATTAAACCTGAAATTCAATTTTTTTTTTATTTATTTATTTACCCCAAAGCAATCAATTTCTTTCAATTACTATCGAACAAATTCAATTGGAATTTAATAAATTTATTATTTAATAATGTATATGTGAAATCGCAACATTTTATTTTTAAATATAGAAAATGGAAAATGATGGAAATATTTAATTTAAGACATATCAGGAATAATCACGATATTGAAATACCCCTCTCTTCCCTCTCCTCCCAAAAAAAAAAAAAAAAAAAAAATATTATGTAGGTATATAAAAATATTTGTTACGTGTTAAAATAAATAAATAATATATAAAAAATTTTACCCCTCCCCTCCCCTCCTCACCTCCATAGCTAAACATAGAAAATTTTTCATTACTGCATAAGATAAATATAGTAAAAAGTAATCGACCAATGAGAAAGGCGGAGTGTCATCCCCTATGAGGAAGGCTGAACCACGTGAAATACATGGAGAGAAGTTGGAACGTTTAAAAATGAAAATAATCGTACTGTTTGTTATTCATGGGCGAAAAAAAAAATGTTTTACAATTGGTGGGCAAATGTTATAAAATCTCTTCCTTCCGGCGCAAACGAAGCACTCGTTACACAGCAACAGAAACGTACGCGATGACAGTATTCAACAGTATAGTCGCACCACGCGGACTTGTAGGTTACGTGGTGTTTACCGGTAATATTCGGGTCGTGGGTTTTTGATAACAACGCGGAAACAACGTGCGTGACTACTATTCGATGATAGAATAAGATCAAAGTATCCATTGAAATCGGTCATCAATGATAATGCCAAGAGAATTTACTCTTGCCAGACACATGTTTTCAATGGCACACGTATCGCAGTTTTGCAAAGATCGAAATTTAGATTTTGCCGGATCGTCAACCATCAATGATTCCAGTTATTATCCATCTTTATTTTTTCACAACAGCAATTCAATGTTTGCCGCATACAAAACGAGAGACAACGATTTCCTGCGATATCACGATCTGCCTGCAACCGATCTGTCAACGGAAGTTGCTTTGGATCTATCATTTAAACCGTCCACACCGATCACGCCGCCGTCGACTCCGTCACCATCATCTCCGTCTCAGACGAAAAAAAAAGAGGGAAAATTTTCAAATTGTTTGACACCTTTAGGACAAGACTCGAATGCGAAGAAAATAAAATTACAACATAAAAGACACAAGGCGGTAAGAAAATTAAATTTTGACGAAGAGAAAACGTCACCGGTATCGGGTACGATAATAAGAGAATTGCGAGATGACGAACCGCCGTTGGTCGTTCGAAAGGGTGACATAGATCCGGCATTCAATTTGGTGGAAGTTACCGAAGAAGCTAAAGCCGAATTAGCAAAAATAGAAAATAAAATTGGAGATTACATTTGTAGGCTTTGTAAGGAAATGTACGAGGATGCATTCGCATTAGCACAACATAGGTGTTCGAGAATAGTACACGTCGACTACAGGTGTCCCGAATGCGACAAAGTATTCAACTGTCCGGCAAATTTAGCATCGCATCGTAGGTGGCACAAACCGAGAGGAGTTACAAAAAACTTTTCCTCGGGTTTAAATCTCGATAAGAAAACATCGCAGGAAGAACAGGAAAACAGTACGTCCGACGATGACATTCCCTTTGCCTGTCATCTATGCAATAAACGATTCAAAAGGCAAGCTTACCTTAGAAAGCACATGGAAACCCATCAAAATTCAACGGAACTTCCGGTACCGGTGGAATCATTTTGTAATTTCGACTCGAATACCAACATACCACAACCAGGTAATTGACAACAGTTTTTTCTACCCCCTTTATGGGGTCCCCGCGGTAATCGTCATGATCAATATTTTTTCCCTCTTGTACCTTATTCAGGTTGATCATGTTCATCGACGCGTGTTAACGAGACACAATATTCTAGTCAACAAAAAGAAACAATCTAGTCATTATAAAAAATCTAGTCATTAAAAAAAATTAACAATTTCTAGTCAAACCTAGTCTAACGAATATTTTTTTTTTTTTTTAACTGAAAGTTTTCTGGAAAACATTTTTTAAATATTAATAAATAATTCGAGCTTATTAATTTTTTTAAGTGCCTTCTTCAAAATTATTTAAATAATTCATTATTAATTAATTTGGCAGACATTTTGTTATTGAATCCCTCGCCTCCCCCCCAACAAAAAAAAAACCTTTCAGTTTATTTATTTATCAAATAAATTTTTTTTTTTCAAACGTGTCAAAAAAAAATCTAGTCACATTTAATTTAATTAAAATAAACCAAAGATAATAATAATAATAATTATTTTCTAGTCATGATAATCTAGTCGAAAAAAATTATTTATTTAATTTATATCCCGGTGGATTAAAAAAAAAAAAAAAAAATTTAGAACATGAAATAAATTTCGTGCATAAATTTTTTTTGTTTTACAAATTAAAAAATCGAATCTAGTCACAGAAACTTATGTATAAATAAATAAATGTAAATAATTTATGTAAGTTAGTATAAATGTAGCCGACAGATACTTAATTTGATATAAAAAAAATTAATTAAAATGGCGGAAAATTTCAATTTGTTTTTAATCACACTTTTTAATTAAATTACAATTTTCTTCTGGGACAATGGCCAGTAAAAAAAAAACATTTATTGTTGTTGTTGTTTTAACAAATCAATTTTTTTTCCCTCATAACGTGAATAATTGTGCCATTTTTAAAAAAAAAATTATTATCTCCTTACTTTGAATTATAATTAATGTTAATCATTTGATAATAATAATAAATTTTTTTGTAACAGTTAAACCGAAAGTAGAAAAATAATATTTGTATATATATATATATATATATATTATAAATTGAAAGAAATGTAAATTAAATGTAAATAGTATAATTATAAATTTAAATTATAATTAAATATCTTTCGATAAAAAAAAAAATTAATGAAAGAATTTGAGTGAAATCTAGTCAGAAATTAGTATTGCAAACATTTTTTCTAGTCTATAAGTGTTTAACACTTGACAAATGATCTCAGTTTGCAAATAAATATTATATATTATATTTAGAAATAATAATATATTAATTTTTTTTCTTCTCAAATGTTTAATAATAAAACTTAATATATATATTAGAAAATAGTTTATATGAAAATAATAAATTAATTATATTTATTTTAAATTATATATGTGGATTTAATTAAACGATGATTGTAATGAAAAATTTTAATGTTTTTTTTTTTTTTGGGGGGGAAAAACTCATGTAGGAAAATAAAATGTTTTTTGTTCTAGTAAATGGGCATTAAAAAAATAGTTCATGTAGTCAACTGTAATTTTTTTTTTTTTTTTTAAATAAACGAACTAAAAAATTTTATGAAAATTCTTAATTATCATCGTTTTTAATTACGAAAAATTGTATGTACAAATGTAAAAAAAAAAAACAAATTAAATAAAGATTGTAAAATAAAATTAATAATTGTGTAAATTTTGTGTGATTAAAAATATAAAAAATTTACTTAAAAGTTTTGAAAATTGTTTATGCGAAAAAAAAATGAAAATAATTACTCATCTACAACCTCTATATCCTTTTTATCCCAGTCTTTTAATTTTGCATCCATCATAAAATCATCTCTTAAAACTTGCCATGCAGGTTCCTCCTCTTGTATTTCTTCTTTCTGAAAATTACAATAAAATTTATATTAGATATAAACACAAAGTTTAAAAATTATTTTTTTAATATTAAATGTTGAAAAAAAAACGAAAACAAACTTACTATTTTATCCTCTGAAATGTTTGCATCCGATTCTTTGATTCCATTACTGCTATTACTAATATTATTTCCTTTTAAAACATCTAAAAATGTTTTTTTATCAATATTTTTTAATATTTTTTCTTTTTTTCCCTCTGTAATACCAGGTTTGCAAATTTCTTTATTAATCGTGGATTGTTGTTGTTTGATGGCATTAAATAATTGAACAACTCCTTTCAATGCAATTTTCATTAATGGTTTTTCTTTGTCTCTATCCAATGGTGACGGTTTAAGTCTACCCCTGTTAATTTTTTCTTTTTTCTAAACAAAAGCAAATTTTGAAATTAATGCAAGAGGAAATTTAAAAAATACTATACAAATTTTTTACCTTGATAAAATTTTTTCTTAAAGTGTTTTTTTCCGGCTTAATATCATTTTCTTCGTGAATATTATCAATAATAATATTTTCTTTTTTATCGTCTGTAGTATTAGCATCCGGTTCGATTTCAAAATCATAATTTTTTTTCTTTAATTTTTCTTCTTTATCCGAGTATAATTTAGCCTTTGACAAAACTATGGATTTCCCATGTTTTTTTTTTTTCGACATCCGAAGAACTTTTGATAATGCATCAGCTAATTGTGCATTACTTTTATTTTTTTCATCTACGTCTTCATCGTCTTCATCCATTTTATAAATTTCTTTTTCATTCTCGATAATAACACGATCCATTACTGACTTTGAATACGGTACATGTGTCTTCTATGTTCCACTTTGGACGTTATTCTCGTGCCACGTCGTCTAACGTATTTTCCCGCCAATAAAAAACTAATGGATAACTTATACACATTTCAAATTGATGATAATTAAATATTAAAATGTATCTTTTAGTTTACATTAAAAAATAATGATTTAGTTTTAAAATTTTTTAATTAATTTGTAAAAAAAAACAATTACTAAGTGCGTAATACAAAATAAATATTAAAAAAAAAATTTTGAATGGATGAAATTTTTATTTAAAACAACACAAGAAAAATATAAGAAAAAAAATTGAAAGAGTAAGTTTTAATAAATTTATTATTAATTGATAAAAGTAATTTTTTTTTTTTAATATATATTTATATATATAACAAAAACTATTTATTAAATGATAAATTTATATAATAAATCTAAATTAAATTGTACACAAAACCCTCAACAATATTATTTGCTACATATTTCTTTGTAGAAATTTACAACATTAACAGTATTTTTGGCAAAATATTTTTTCCCTTTTATTTTATTTTTTTTTTTTAAATTTAAAATAAAAATTTATGTTAATTAATCCTTGATAAAATAATAATAATAATAATAAAGCTCTCTCTCTCTCTCTCTCACAATTTATTTAATTATTTATTTTTAATGAAAATTTTCAGAATGTTCAGAAAACTAAATGACTCTGTTATAAATTACATTTTTTATTTTTTAATTTTTAAATAATAAAATAATTTACAATCAACAAATAATTAAAATAATAAAAAAAAACATTATTTATTAAATTTATTAACAAATAAAATTACATTTTGTTTATGAAATAAATAATGAAAAAAAAACAAAATTCATTTAAAATTGATGTTTACTAACTATTCAGCCATTTTTTTTTTTTTAAATAATTTATTTAATATTTCTTTATTATAATTATTAAGTATTTTATTAATCATAAATTATTACATTTGAATGTTAAGAAAGTTTAAAATATTATTTAAATAAAATAATAATAATAATAATAATAAGAGTCAAATAATTTTCTGATCAATTTTTTTTTTTTTTTTTTTGACTGTTCTATTCCTTGTTATTAAAATAAGGAATCATTTTATTTTATTTTATTTATTTATTTATTTTTTTTTTCTTTTTTTTTTTTCTACTTTTTAATATAAAATTAGAATATTATTTATAAAAAAAAAAATTACGTTTATCATTACATAAACTAAATTAAAACAACTTTTTTTTTTTTTTTTTAAATGATATTAAATATTCTGGTTTTGAATTATTTTACAAAAAATAATAAAAACATAATAATAATAATAAAAATACAATTTTTTATAAATGGAAATAATATAAAATAAATTAATAATTGTCCAAAGAAACCCTTTAAATATTTAAAATAACAAAAAAAGAGAATAATAATAATAATAAATTTTGACAAAAGTTTGTTTGTGTTTTGGAAAAAAAAAAAAAACAATTTTTAATTATTATTATTGTTATTATTATTATTATTGTGGAAATATATAAATATATTGTTATATATAAATATATAATATTATTGTTGTAATAGTTGTATCGGTTTAAAATCTTTTCCCTCTTATGATATTTTTCCAAAAAAAAAAAAAAAAATTAAAAAAAATGGAACGTTTCTTTCTTTCTTTATTTTTTATTAAACAAAAAATGCACATAATGGGCCATTTATTAAAATAAATAATAATAAATATATTATTTAAATCATTTTTTTTCCTTCCTTCCATCATTGACAAAATGTCGACAACACAGTTTTACATTTATATTAATAAAATAATAAATGTACAAAACAAAAAAAAAAAAAAAAAAAAAAAAAAACCGGGATTTGTTAAATTGGTGTTAAATACATACAGATGACGGTAGTTGAAGTCAATTATTATAATAAAAAAAATAATAATATTTTGTCAGGTTTTAAAAGTAGTAGTAGTAGCAGTAGCACAAGTTCGTTTTAATATTTTTTTTTTTTTTTTACGTCACGAACCTAATTTTTACGATTACTGTCGAAAAAAAATTTATTTTTTTTAACAAACAAACATTAATTTATGTGTGTTTATATTTATGTTTCATAAACATATATTTTACAAAAAAAATATATTAAATTAATTAAAAAAAACATTATATATTAATTTATTTTACTACCAAGTAAAAACTCAAATTTTAAACAAAAAAAAAAAAAAAAAAAAATAATCACAATTGTTTTATTTGATCACATTACAAAAAAAAAAAAAAAACAATATGATCAATTTTAAATAACAAAACTCATCAAATTATTATTATTATTATTATTATCATTATTATTATTACTAATAACTAAAATTATAACTTTTGGTAAGGCTTTCTTCTTTTATTCTTTATAATGTGAACAATTTATTTATTTATTTATTATTTTAATAATATACATAGGTTTTATTAAACAAAAAAAAAAAAAATATTTGAGACAAATTATATAAATGGTTTGAAAAATAAAAATTAAATAAACTTCATTTTAATTATTATTATTATTATTATTATTATTATTTTCTTTCACCATTTAAAAAATAGTCCCGAATATTTTCTTATTTAACACTTTGACCAGTATTAATAACTAATAAATAAATAAAGAAGAAAAAAATAAACAAAACAAAAATATTACAATTATATAATCGAAAAAAAAATTAATAAATCATTATTATTATTATTATTATTAATTTACTAAACAAAAAAAAAAAAAAAAAAAAAAAAAAACAAAACCCTGTCCCAACTAAACAAAAAAAATGACTAGGAATATTAATAATAATAATAATAATAATAATAATAATAATAATAATAATAATAATAATAATAATAATAATAATAATAATAATAATAACAATAATAATAATAATAAAAATAAATTTTCATTAAACACAATTTCCAATGATAGAGAACAATTAAATTAAATTAAAAAATAAAAATAAAATAAAATAATTTTTTTTCTTTTTTTTTTATTTTCTTTTGGCCTTTTTGCCCCATTTATTATTTATTATTCTACATGCCCTTAAATTCAAAAATAATAATAATAATAATAATAATAATAATAATAATAGTTTTTTTCTTTTTCCATTTTTTTTTTTTTGTTATTAATATAATTTCCAACTATTGCTACATTTGTTTATATTTACCATTACCATAACCGTGGCAGAATGCAAATCAAACACACACACACACACACTATTTCATTTTTTTTAACCGTTAATATTAAAATGAAAAATAATTTTAATTATTTGTTTATGGATGTCAAAAGTAAATTTTAGAGAATCATTTTTTTTTTTTTGGAATTTTTAATTCATTAATTTCCGGTCATTGGTTGGGTGTAGTAGTAGTAGTAGTAGTAGTAGTAGTAGTATATCGTAATAATTTCACTTCAGTTGTATGTTTTTTGTTTTTTTTTTTTTGCATCGAACCACGAATTTTGGTTTCATGACGACTTAGATTTTGGCCACTATACCACGGTACTTCCCGGTCCTCGATCTATTGTTTGCCCAACAACGGCGTTAACATTGTTCGGACTAGAAGCGATCATCGAGGACATACCCTAAAAACAAAAAAAAAAAAAAAAAAAAAATCAAAATTTTTTTCCACTTGTTAAAGGATTAAATAAAAAAATTTACCATTTTACCGGGCCTAGCCCAAGTGTAGACGTAGCCATCTTGACAAGCTGTTACGAAACAGTCTTCCCTAAACACGAGAGCAGACAACCTCTCGTGTGCGATTTTTTTACATATGAGAGGCTCCAGAACGGGACATTCGTCAAATCTTGGACACGCATTCGTTCCAATGAGCTTAATCGGATCGTCGTAGCAACTTTTATTCGATGACACCCCTCCTTTCCAACTATTTTTATCACCGATCGCGCAAGCATTTTTAGATATTTGACTCAAGTTTCTTTTATGTAACGAAGTACTTTCTTTTCTGTCGCCGAAACCGAAACCGGCTAACCTTTGGGTAATTGATGTATTTGAATGATTAAAAACTGGTACGTCCGCGTTGGGTTCTTTATGGGATGACACGTTATTGCACTTTACCGAGGAACTGACGTTAAGCTTCGACGCTGAACCGTTTCCACTTATTATTCCTGGATCGCCCGCACACGATGAAAATATACTAGTTCTTTGTTTTGAGCAAACCGGTTGCCTAAGAACATCTTCGGTGATGTCCCAAAAACACAATTGAGTGTCTTGCCCCACGGAACCGAGACGGTAACAAGTAGCAGCACTTATTCGATTAACTTCGGAATTTGAGGAATTACGGTTACGAGTATTTCCAGTGGAAAAGTTACAACTACCAATATGATTATGATAAACTTGGGATTGCGATTCGTCGTCGGATCCTCCGCTAAAATCAACCGTGTCTTTCTCTCCGTACGACGTCGTGTAGGGATCAAAAGCGACGACGCTTACCCAACTCCGATGTCCTTGACCTCGAGCCACGACCCTCCTTTCGTGGAAGCTCCAAACGGTTACCAAATCGTCCTCCCCTCCCACTACGACATACCTACCATCCGGAGACCAGCAAACACATAAAAACCCCCCGAAATAACTCCTGGCAATACCTTCCAATTCCATTTTATCGTATTGGAAAACCCGCAGAAATCCATCTTGTGACACTATAGCTAAATGTACTCCACACGGAGAAAAGGCAAATTCATTTATACAACATCCGTCCGACCCGATTACCCATCTGTATAAAGGGTTTCGAGTGCTTTTCGTTTTGCACGTGTGCACCGTGAATCCTTCACCGTTTTTAAACGGCTGGTAATGAGGCGGAGTTATACCACAAGGTAACTCTTCATTGTAAAGATAGAGTTGACCGCTGCTATGAGAAACAACAAATAGATTTTGTGATCCAGGCACCCATTTAATGCAGGTCACTTTTGTTTTGTCTATTAATCTCTGAAATTATTTACAACATAATTATTATTAACCTTGACTTGAGTCGAGTTTTATGAATAATAAAAATCAAAGGTTTGACTATAAATGTTAAACGGTATTTGGTGTTATCACTTCAATATATTTCTAGCCTTTTAAGTACAAAAGTTTTGTAAATATTAAAAAATGTATGTTTACTACTAACTAAAAAAAAAAAAAAAAAATCAACTACAAACCCATTAAAAAATATTTCAATAATTACCTCTTCATTATATAGTTTGCTCAGTTCTTTTTTTATAGGATCAATTAGTTGAATTTGGCCAGTTGAAAATCCAACTAGAAGTGAGGCACTATCAGCTGTGGCATTTATTGCATTGAAGTCATGGCAGGTAGGATTAATACCTTTATACATTTTTTTTTCAACAGGCTTTGGAAGATCTGCCGTTGGGTATCTCTAAAAAATAATAATAATAATAATCTATATTAAAATTGAGTAAATAAAAAAAAAAAAAAAAAATTAAAAATTTAATTATGAAAAGTTTTGTTTTCGTTAATGTTGAACATGAAAATATCATAAAACTGCCTTTTAAAAAATCCTACATGACACAAAATAAACAAACAACAACATTATCTTATCATGTAACTTGTTCAAAGATATTTCAATGATAACTTATTGACAATACAAATTTTTTCACATAACACCCAAAAAAAATTATTTTGAATAAAAATTAGTTAAAATCAAAAAAAAGAATAATTTTAAAATTAATTTATTTTAATATTTTAAAAAAATTTTTACAGTTTTACCATGAAATTTACTTAAAAAAAAAAAGAAAAAAGTAATTTTTATGAAATGAAAACAAAACATTTAAAATTCAAAACAAGAAATGTTTAGGCCTTAAAGTTTTTGAATAATGTTGGTTTTTTCCCTATCTGAAAGTAACAGTCTTTAAATTTATGATAGCATACAAGGCAATTAACAAAAAATAATTTACAGCATACAATTTAGATAATCCAACAGGTAATGCAGGAAAGGGGAGTGGTAATTTCAGATTGCCCTGATTGACCTTATTTTTATCCAGGTTAGGTTATATAAATATTAACAAATTTACATCCCAAAGAGAAAAACAAAAACTTTTTAAAGAAGCATTAGAAATAATTATTATTTAATAAATTTTATTTTTACATTACCTTCTTAACGCCTTTATATACATAAACATAAAGTTCTCTGCCAATGTTGAAGCAAATATTGTCAACATTGCCGCTCGGATCTGGTAAAGTCACGAAAGAAATTCGGACCGAAGAATTTCCTTGATTATTTGTATATCCTACACGATTTGGCCTTAAATAGTCTGAATTTGTTAGAAGTCTATAAGTTCCTTCTCTAGTAATAAACTGTGTTTTTAATTCATCTTTTCCCCCACCATCATTCTGCACCGCCATTTTATTGTAACACTGTGCAGAAGCCTAGATATTTAATGCGCGCGCATTTTTTTTTTAACTACGTTAATCAAAATAAATATTTAAAAAAAAAAAACTTTGTAAACTACAATTTCTTTTTTTTTTCTAGAATTTTTTAAATGCATTATTTTCGAATAAAATTTTAAAAGTTTCCTTCATTAAATCTGACCTTAAAAAAAAAATATTTAACAATTTCACATCACAATTAATATAAATTTAAAACGTTTGCGATCAAAGGATTTTTTTAATCTTAATATATTCTTTACTGCAGGAAATCCGTTTAAATATGAAAAATTTAAATTGCTTAATTAAAAAAAAAACTCTATCAATTTATCATACTTTTTTAAATCTCAAAATCGTTAATTTCCACTTATTATTTATATTTTTAAAACGTACTTTACCGAAAAAAAAAAAAAAAACAAATGGAGGACTTTGTAAATAATAATACAATTTGACCAGATGAGATTATTCAACTTATTTTAAGCCGGTATTGACTCAAAAACAAAAAACAATTTTTACCAGATAGATTAATTATTTCGATCTGAAATTAAAAATATTTTTTATTTCTTTTAATTTTCTACTTAAAGTATTACATCAAAAAAAAAAAAAAAAACATATAATTAGTCATAACTTAAAAAAAATTTTTTTTGTAAATAACATCAAATTTGGAAAATTCCGAATTAACTCAACTTATAGAACTAGTAAAAAAAAATAAAGTAAAATAAAACAAAATAATGAAAATTTTCACTAAATTTTCTTTTTCTTTTAGTCAATAAAAATTAACTTAAAAAGTAAGAAGACCCCCCTCCCCTCCCCTCCCCAACCGATCATTTTCATGGTTTCCTTATCAAATTCGGTTATGCAATATAAATGTATTAATTTAGAAAGAAAATTTAAACTTTTCTTACTTTTTTTACTAGGTTTGTCTATATTTAAATAAATTTTATCCAGAATGTATAAAACTAAATCATAACAAAAATTTTTAATAAAATTTATTATTTGTAATTGTTTTTTTTTAAATTTATTTACACTCTTGCAAAATTTAACGAATTAAATTGAATTCCCCCCCTCTCCTCCCTCCCTCCCCCGTAAATTTTTATTTGTGTACAAATCACGATTAAGTAATAACAAGTTATTCGTTATATAAAAAAAATATATATACAAACATCCTGTTATTTTACTTTCAAATTTTATATTATTATTTATATTAAAAAGAGTCCTTATAATATAACCTTGATATTTACCTTTGAGCAACAATAGATAGTAATTTTGCAAATGTTGCAATATATATATATATATATATTGAATTTTTAATAATTAGTTATTATATATTATTTAAAATATGGTGAGTTAGTTATTGGCCCCATTTTTTAAAGGACTCTCGAATTGTAAAAACAGTAGTAGAAACGTTCAACTGTAAAGAAATAAAAATAAATTATTAAAAAATTATTATTATTATTATTATTATTATTATTATTAATTTTATTGTTAAAGGTAAGTAAATGTTAATATGTTTAATTATTATTATTATTTTTTTTTATTATTTGATTTTTACTTATTATTAAATCAAATTAATTTAAAAAAAAAAATAATAATAATTTATTTATAAATTTTAAAGACAATATTTAAAATTATTATTATTAACATAATAATAATAATTTTTTTTTTTTTTAAATTATCATCAGAACTTTGAACTTGAACGCAAACTTTCTTGACCAATTTATTATTTAAATAAATAAATTAATTAATGATTTTTCTCATGACAGTGAGATTTATATTTAAATTATAAAAATAATTATATTTTATTTAAATTTTAAATTTAAAATAAATTTGAGAGATTTTTTTTTTTTGTTTAAGGTGACATTCACAATAAATCATTACAAACCGGTACCCAAGGTTATAATGAAAAAAAAAATAATAATAATAATAATGCCGGTTTGAAAGAATATTATTTAATTGAAAAAATTATTTATTATTATTATTATTAATAAAAATTATGGATATTGAATGTGAAAATTTATATGGAAAAATAAGTAAAAAAAAAAATGTCGAAATAATAAAATCATTTGATAATATTGTGGAATTGCCAAAAGAAGAAGAAGATGAAGAAGAAAAATTTAAATTTCGATCAGCTCTTGCTCAAGTAAGTATATTTTTACTGTTTTTATTTTTTTTTTTTTTTTTTTTTATTATAAAAAAAACTAATAAATTATTATTTTTAAATTGTTTAATAATAATAATAATAAAAAATTAACGAGGTTAAAAATTATTTCAGTGTAAAATATTATTAAATTTAAATAATTACATAAATATAAATATTACACCATCTAACATAAATTAAAATTTATTTTACCCTGCACGTACTCAATATTATTATTATTATTATTATTATCTAATTTAGAAATTTAACGAAGATGCTTAACACTAATAAATTTTTTTTTTTTTATTTATTAAATTTCCACCCCTCGATTTATGGTTAGTAAGTTTTGTAAGAAGTTAAATAAATAAAAAAAAAAAAAAAACAAAAAAATGCTTTTTAAATTTTAGATTTTGGCTGTAAGCTCTATTAATTTGATTCTCTTGAATCTAGGAATAGTTTTGGCTTTTCCTGCAATTGTTATACCAAAACTTTTAAAATCAACAGAAGATTTAAATTTTTCAGAAGAACAAGCATCATGGTTCGGTTAGTATTT